ACGCATCTGATTGTTTATAAGTGATTAAAATCTGATAAATTAATCGTCGATTTGATAATGTATTAACAGATTTATAAAGTAGAACTAGAAGAAAGAAGTGCGTGAATTCGAAAGTGAAAAACGAGATTTTAAATTTCAAATTTCTGCTTCTAATACAGCTGAATGGTCACTACGTATGTGGAAATTTGTTGCATAATGAAAAGCAAAAGAGTTAGATTAGAAGTGCGAGAATGGATATAGTCCTTTAAAAGGGATCAATTATGATTATGATAATGCTTCTTATGGTATTATCATAATCATATGTTAGCAATCATAATGATAATAAATCAACAGTATTTTTACAATCAAAGAGAAATTTTATAATAAAGTTAACATTGTTGTTGATTGTTTCATCTTTCATAACATGATGAACTCTTCTACCAGCATCATTTACCTCTATCTATCTTCTACCTCTTCTACCTTGAAATTCAAAATTTTTTCAAGCAATTTTTGTTTTAATAAGTTATTAGAAATCTCTTAATAATATGTGTTATTGACAGGCAATGTAAGTGAAGAAAGAATGCGATTAAATTAGAGAGAGCAGAGAGCAATGAAATCGAATGACATAGCGCATATTTGAAGGAATTAAAAATTTGGCTAAATAACCCGAGCCATTAAAAACGGCAGTGAGGAAGTTTGTCGTGGCAGGTGTGAGTCTGTTTCCGGAATTTGGGAAGTCCATTAGATAAGGTTTTACGAAATCACTGCTTACTATTTTGAATAGTAAAAATTAAAATGGAAGAGCTTAACAAATTACGTAACTATTCGCAGAAAAAGCGGAACGAGTTTATTTTTGAATGAGACTGAGCCATATTTTATATATAATGTATGTCAGTGCTGGATATAGCCGTATCCGGTGATAAACGTTTGAAGAGAGGTACTTATCAGATAAAATTACCTTATTTTACGTTTAGGAAACGCAATAATGGATGAAACATTCACTTATAAAGCTCCATTGTTCAAAAATGAGCGTACAACTGTTGAACGAGTAGAGAAGTTTATTTCCGAGAATTATTTTAAAGATTGCAACTTACGTGGTCGTCTTTACGGGCGATCATATCCGGTCCACGTAAAACATTGTGATTTTGGTTTGGATATCGTAACATTTCATGATGCTGTGGAAGCTCTTTCCACTCGAGGTAACCATTGAAATATCAGTTAGGGTTAATTTAAATGCACGTTTTTATGTTATACATTAGCTTTAATGCTTTGCTTGGATATTCCAGTTAAGTAAATGTGCAGCGTTAAAAATTTTACGTTGTCTGAGATTTGTTTCCACAGTTTGACGTAAAGGGCCCTTTCCTTTATCGTCGTCTCTGCTGAAACGACTCTTTTAGTTTTAGAACTGTTAGTATACACTAGAAACATGCGTTGAGCAGAATTTATTCGATTTTCGATGAGTAAATTGATTTGATCCAAAGAATTACATTTCAGGTGCAGAAGTAGGTGTAGGTTTTAAATTTGGTCCAACCTGGACAACGCATTGGTTTCAAATTGACGTCAGTCTACCTCAGAATATTTCTAGTAAATCAAAAATTGTTTTACGCTTCGATCCTAATTGCGAAGCTCTTCTATGGTCCGCAGATGGCCAGCCAATAAAGGGTTTATTTTGCATATGATCTACCAATTTTGGTTTGATAATAGCTCACGATCTTTAGTGATTCTTAATTCATATTTCATTATCTAAGGCATTATGCTGAAGGGCATTGCAGATTTTATAGGATGTTGAAATCCTAGAAAAATTAACATCTTAAAAAGCATTAAATGATTTTTGCGACTATATCAAATTAAATTTAATTAATTTGTCATAAAATTTGGTCAAGTATTTTTGTAGCCTTCCCATTGCAGGTTTATCTCCGGATTTTGGGCGTACAGATCTTATAATTTCTACTTCTCCAACGGTACAAAGATTTTACATTGAGGCATCATGTAGCGATCGATCTGGTGACGGTGATGGCAATGCACTAGGACCCGTGAAGATGGATAAAATATTCGAAGTATTGATTGGTTCCGAACATACGTTTAAAATATTTTTGATGTTCCATTACAAAATTGTCGTTTAAAGAAAATCATATACACAGGAGGATTGCTGTTTAATCATTATTATAGCTGAAACGTTGTGAATTAGCAGAATACAATGCAGCAATTTACGATCTTATCATCGATTTTGAACTTCTATTGGAAATGTCAAAGATGTTACCGAAAGAAGGAGCAAGGAGATATCAGGCCTTGTATACGGCGAATGACATGGTAAAGCATTTGGTAATTGTAATGCTCTTTTTTGAGATATGATAAATTATCACTTCTAAAATACTTCATTTTAGATCAATTGCCTTGTTGTATCAAATTTTTCATTAGATGCACAAACACAATGTCATTTACAAGCTAAAAAATTTTTCTGCCAACCAAATGGAGCAAGTCAGATGACTCTGTATGCAATGGGTAATTGTCACATCGATACTGCGTGGTTATGGCGGTAGTTTTCCTCGTTTTTCTTGCGTGTGTTGCTGCTTAAATTCTTCAGAATGCTTTTAAATTTAAGTCAGTTCTGCTGCAGTTTTATATTTATCTTGGATTTAGGTACCGGGAAACAAGGAGAAAATGTGCTCGAAGTTGGTCTGCAACTCTGCGTTTGATGGAGAAATATAAGGAGATGAAATTTGTTATTTCACAAGCTCAACAAGTAAGGAATTATGATTGTATTGGATTTATTTTTTTATATATGATATAATCATTCTTAGAAAACACAATCAGCAAATTTTGCAACAAAAAGAATGAAAAATTAATCAAAAATAGTTGTAGTTAGTATGGTTGAAAGAATGCTATCCGAGTCTTTATAAGGATATGCAAAAATTCGCATTAGATGGACGATTTGTTGCAGTTGGGGGGGCATGGGTTGAAATGGATGGNAAATTTGCCTAATGGTGAGAGTATGATTAGACAACTATTATATGGGCAACGAGAATTCAAGAAATTTTGCGGTGTGTAAGTTTTGCTTTATCAATTATTAATTGCTGTACATTTAAATTTGGTCAGAGATTAAGTACAACGAAAGGATAAAAAAGTTAGTATTGAATGATAAAGTGATAGGACCTCACATTTATGTAATATGTGAGTTGGTATTAATCTGTATCCCTGCTCACTAATGAAGAATTTTTCAGTTCCTCAGAGACATTCTGGTTGCCTGATACATTTGGTTATTCTGCACAGCTTCCTCAGATAATGCAACACTGTGGAATGGGGTATTTTGTTACTCAAAAAATGAGCTGGTCGATAGTTAATAAATTTCCGCATCACTCATTTCGGTGGGTTGGTATTGATGGTACTTACGTGATCGCTCATTTTCCTCCAAATCATTACGTATCACAGGTATATTCATTTCGTTTCGCTCTTATATTTCCAAAGTTCGCAATTTGAAGTATAGGTTTGCTTTGGAATAAATAATACGCTTTGGAAACGTTGAAACAAATGATGCTGTCTTATCTTTTTGATGATATGAAGTTGTTTTCAGATCACAGTGAAAGAATGCTTGGATTCTCGGGATAATTTTACAGACCACGGGCGTTCAAACATAGCAATGATGCTCTATGGATTTGGGGACGGAGGCGGAGGGCCGAATAAAGATATGTTGGAAAGGGCTGAGCGATTAACAGATTGTGATGGAGTACCTCGAGTACAGCATGCGACACCTCAAGAATTCTTCACTAAGGTTCTCAAAATTGTGAATTTTGTTTGTTTCTTGGATCCTAATTTTTATTTTTGGTCAACTTTTCAGCTGACAAAAGATGTGGACAATTTATGTATTTGGAAAGGCGAATTGTATTTGGAATTACATAACGCAACCTATACTACACAAGCTAGAATCAAGAAGATGAATAGGCTGTTGGAAAGCATTCTAAAGGATCATGAATTTCTGCAGGTACAGGGAGTGTATTAAATAATTTTTTTCAAGTTTTGAAATAAATTATTTATTAAATCCACTGACGAGATTCATTCAATATTTTGCTCAATTTCATATTTTCAATCCAATTGTATACTTTGCCGATATGAGAAAAAAGCGTATGAGAAATGTAATACTATAGGGTTGGCAATATCTATTGCCTGCAAAATTCATCTGTAGAGTATTTTATTTTATTGTTATTCTTTGAATTGGTAGTAACTTATGCTAATCTAGTTTTATCTTTCAGTCAATGTCACTTCTTGAATTCAACGATGGTAAGCCTCTTACATCTCAGTGGCAACGTTTCTTACTCAATCAATTCCATGATGTCCTCCCGGGCAGTTGTATTAAAGAAGTGGTAGCCGATGCAGTTGAGATTTATATTATTTTATTGGACGAGCTTGCTGTCGATGGTGGAAAACGATTGAAGTGGGAAGGTTTGTAAACTTGGAATTTGCAGGAAATTGTAATTTTAAGTTCACTGAATGCTTTAGTTTTGATAAACCAAAAGATTTTTCAATAAAAATAAACCACTGCAGGTGAAAGTCATGAAACAACACCGAATGAATGGGTAATTAACAGTTGCAATTGGCCAAGAATTTTGTTTCACAATAATCGCCTTCTGCGTTTGGAGCCGTTCTCTATTATGCGTTTGAATGAAGTTGAATTATTCAAGACATCTTTGAGCAATAAACCATTGGTTTCGAAATATGACACTGAATTCAGAATGCAAAATCGTTATATTACTGCGTCTATTGATAAGGTAATTTCACTATAATTCAGTGAGATTTTTTTGAATTCATCAGCAGAATAGAAAGAGTAAGCAGGTTGTCCTTCGTAGAAGATCTGATCAACCAGACAATTCAAAGTTAGTAAGAAACTTACTTGTCAGACGTTACAGCGGGAAGTGATCCCTTCTGAAAGTGCAAATTTGATATGTCGAGAAGGGCAGTTTTTTGCGCTCTAATATGGTAGGAACTAAGTTGAGCTTCAAAATTTGGCTTACACTGCTCACAGTTCTATTTTCTTGACTTAAAAAAAATTACAAACACTTTCAAAACACTGATTTATTCATTTAGATGGGTCGCATTACGAAACTATTGGTGCATTGCCTGAGCGAAGCAAGTAGTGTTAAAGAATATTTCTCATCAATCCCTGAAAACAATTTCGCTAATCAGTTTGTTATTTTTGATGATGTGCCCCTTTTTTGGGATGCATGGGATGTGATGGATTATCATATGGAAACAAAAGAAGTTATTAATTCAGTAAGTTGCTCTTATCTCCTATCACTGCTTGTCGAAACAATATTGAAACGAAGTCGGGCCTTTTTTAATGATAGATAATTGTTCATAAAATTATAAATTTGTACTGATTATAGGATTCGCAAGCAGTTCTACTCAGGAATACACCATTGGAGGCCTGCATCTGTGTCAAATTTGCAATAAGCGAAAAAAGCTCTCTAATGCAATATATTAGTATATATGCACATCTGCCTTACTTGATTTTTGATGTCACGGTGCAATGGTATGAATCACATAAATTTCTAAAAGTAAGTTATAATAGTTATTCCACCATCATGCAGTGATATCGTCATATTTCATTTCTCTTCCGATCATATCTTCTATCTAAGAGAGCAAAAGGATCTGTCAAAAGTTTTTATTTTAGGTTGAGTTCCCAACAAATGTTCATGACATGGATGCTTTTTATGATATACAGTTTGGTCATGTAAAGCGCCCAACACATCGAAACACCTCTTGGGATGCTGCAAAGTATGTTTGCTTTGTATCTTTCAATATTCCTATAGTTATTAACATTGTCTGTTTTCGTTTCCATTTGCTCTCCCAACTGAGTTTTTGAATCTGATTGTTAATCAATTTTGCTGACATAAAACTCTCAAAGATGATGGAATATGTCGTAGGGAATTTGCAATATAAAATGTAAAGGTATCATAAGATTATTGCCGAGATTTTGGTGTTATAACGGAGCAAAAAAAATGACGTGCTTCAGTATTGCCACTTTCAAACAGTAAGGAAAAACAATTAATAAAGATCTGATAAAAATACAGATTTTATGGAGCAAAAGAAAATAACGAAGCTTCCTTACTGTTATTAACTCCGTTAATATAATATTCTATTTGTTTCAAATTGTTTGAGGTATGAAGTTGTTGGACACAAGTGGATGGCTCTGAGTGAATTCGATCGAGGCATTGCGCTTTTGAATGATTGCAAATATGGTCACTCATGCACAGGCAATACTATGACGTTGTCTTTGCTTCGAGCAAGTAAAATTCCAGATGATACTGCTGAT